TATTTATTGATACATTCATCTTATTTTTCATTAGAGAGTCTAAACAATTTATATTTAATGAAACTTCCGAAGGAAGAGTTTGGTGTTTATTTTATTATTCAAAAATTGAAATTGAGAATTTGAAAGGAATTGCATTTAATCTGTAGATCAATTTGGACATCTTCACAACATTAGGTCTACTTCCCTTGAAGAAGAACATATTCAAGAGTGTGTTGTTTATTTTCCTATATTTGTGAATTTTTCTATTTTTCTTCTATTATTCATTTTCAGTTTCATTCCATTCTAGTCAAAAATTAAAGTGTTTAAAATTTCAACTTTCTAAAATTGGGTAAGACTTGTGGCTGAACAGGTAGTTGTTTAGGAAGAACGTTTTATGAGCTATCAAGAAGATTGTATATTCTACTATTATTGTGTAGAGTGTTTCCAATACATCTGTTAGGTCTAATTGCTCTGTAGTGTTTTCAAATCTTTTGTTTTCTTATTAATAATTTGACAGGTTTATTATTGGAATTGGAGTATCAAAATATCCTATTATTTGGTGTCTATGTGTTGCTTCAATTATTTCAATGCTATTTAAAATATATTTGAAAGCCTTGATGTGAGAGAAATATAGATATCACATATATGTATTATTTTCATAAGCCCTCAGTGAATGACCACTTTTTATATTTAATGCCCTTGTTTGTCTCTTGTCACAGTTTTGACTTAAACTATATTTTAAGAATTATAACATTTTTCACTTCAAAATAATATGCCTAATATAATTTTTAACTCCACTGCTCTTGGATGCTACATGTTTTCCTGATATATCTTGCTATATTCTGCCAGTTTTAGTCTATTGTTCTCACCAGGTATGAAGTCAGGTCACTTTAGATAGAATATAGTTGGATTTTTTAAATCCCTTTATTTAACTGTGTTTTCTGACTAGAAACACTAGCACATAAATATTTACATAATTTTCTCAAAGGGAGGATTTACAATTTATATAATTTTAATTGTTTTATATGACTTTTGTCATTATCTTTTCTTTCTTTCCTCTCCTTCTGTCCTGCATTGTACCTCACTGATTTTTAGTGACATATTTTGTTTCTTTGCCTAGCTTTCTTTTTTATCTCTATGAATATTTTTTATGATGTTCACTGTGAGAACTATGTAAAATCTTTTGAACTTGCAACCTATGTTAAATGGATAACTACTTAACTTCGGTTGCATACAAAAATTCTTAATCTTTACATCTGGCCTCACCTTTATGATGTTGATATTAATAATTATGTCTTTCTATAATGTATACAAATTAACACATGGAAATGATCATTTTTTTATTTTGCCTTTCAAATTTTATAGCATAATTATTTTGCACCATCATTATGATAATGCAGAATTTTATTCTTGATATGGGCATATTTTTTCCCAGAGAGTTATACAGTTGTCCTGGGAGATAGAAACCAGCCATTGGAAAGGCTATAAAAAAGCAGATGTGTGGAAATGTGCCCATAGTTTCATTCTCTTTTGATAGGAAATCCAAGAGATGGGATTTTTCTACTAAAGTGATAACTCAGTATCAGC